CGTGACTACGAGCTACACTCTCTTGACTTCAGCACTGCTTTCTTGCAGGGCAGCCTGCACGAGGAGATCTGGCTGCGTCGCCCACCTGGCTTCACTGGGTCTTTTCCTCCTGGCACCCAGTGGAGCCTACGGCGGCCAGTCTACGGTCTCCGCCAGGCACCGCGTGAGTGGCACGACACACTGAGGACTACACTTGCGGCTCTTGGGTTTGCTCCCTCTACTGCCGACCCGTCGCTGTTTCTGCGCACCGACACTTCTTTGCCGCCGTTCTACATCCTCGTGTACGTCGACGACTTGGTCTTTGCCACAGCTGACACTGCAGGACTAGTCCACGTGAAGTCCGAGCTGCAGAAGAGACACACGTGCACTGACCTGGGTGAACTGCGCAGCTACCTTGGCTTGCAGATCACTCGGGACAGAGCACGCCGCACCATTACCCTGACTCAGTCACACATGGTGCAGCAGGTCCTTCAGCGCTTCGGCTTCACGTACTCCTCGCCTCAGGCCACTCCTCTGCCTACTCGCCACTCGCTCTCAGCTCTGCCTTCGGATGAGTCCGTAGAGTCGAGTGGCCCGTACCCAGAGCTTGTTGGCTGCCTCATGTACCTGATGACCTGCACACGACCTGACCTTGCACACCCTCTTAGCATTCTTGCACGCTATGTTGCTCCTGGGAGACACAGACCGGAGCACATGGCTGCAGCGAAGAGGGTGTTGCGCTACTTGTGCAGTACGTCGGGCATGGGGCTTGTGCTTGGAGGGCAGAGTCCAGTGGTCCTTACTGGGCACGCAGACGCTTCTTGGGCTGACGACCAGGCTACGCAGCGGTCGTCACAGGGTTACACCTTCAGCCTTGGTTCCGGCTCTGTTTCGTGGCGGGCTACTCGCTCGTCTTCTGTTCTCGGCTCCAGTTGTGAGGCTGAGATCTACGCAGGAGCCATGGCTGCACAGGAGCTTCGCTGGCTCACCTACCTGCTGACTGACCTCGGAGAGTTGCCTCGTTCTCCTCCAGTGCTGTACGTAGACAACAAGGCCATGCTGGCCTTGTGTCGGGAGCAGCGACTGGAGCACAGAACGAAGCACATTGCTCTCCGCTACTTTCTTGCTCGTGAGCTGCAGCAGCGTGGTCAGCTGCGTCTTGCGTACGTGGCCTCTGAGGCCAACACTGCTGATATCTTCACCAAGGCACTTGCGCCTTGTGACCATCAGCGCTTCTGTACTCAGCTGGGCCTTGTGCCTACCTTGCCTCACTTGCTCACCTCTTGACCTTGCTTGTACTGTTACATATATATATACCTGCTCTTGCTTGTCTAGCCTTTTTATATATATGTGTACTCCTGCTTGTGAACTGGCCTTGTGGCCTTGAACTTGTGCTCGGAATGTGTGGTGACTTTGTGATCCACCCTGAGCTTGCTTTGCTTTGCTTTGCTTGACTGGTCTTGTGACCCCTTGTTCTCCCCCACTTTGCCTATGGGGGTGTGTCAGAACATTATAGCTCATGCATATTGTGTAGGCTATAGTGGGGTACTCCATAAGGGGTACAACCCAATTAGGGTTAGCACTTGTACCCAATTCATTCATAGTTCATCCATTCCTCGTTTCTTCTCACACATGTGACATTAAACATTTTACATACATAGTTTATCAAATGATAGACGTGTACACTCCCGTCTGTTTTTCATTATGCTGCATGTGCATTTGGTGTATTGCAGGCGTGGCAGATGCCTCTGCAGCAGAACGATTTTGACTGCGGCATCTTCGTATGCCAGTACATTCAAGCGCTTGTGGAGGCGTGTTTCGAAGGTGCTGAGAACGGGGTACGGTTCAGCATGAGCCCACTGGCATATCGACGCAGGTTACGGGAGGATGTGTGCGCTCATGCAGAAGGACGGTTGATCGGGGAGCTCACGGCAGCTGGGCATGAGATCCCTTCTGGCAATGAGATAAGGAAACCGCCCGAGCCTGAGGTGATAGGTGATGAGGTGGAGGATAGGGAGTGGAGAGCGGAGATGGCAGAACGGATGCATAGACTGGAGGTTCGCAATGAGGGTCAGGCAGTGGCTATTGCCAAGCTCGAGAGGCAATTGCGTGAGCTGATGCTTTCTCGTACTCCGCAGCATGGCGTAGACGGTGAGGCTGCAGGGGAGGGACATGGTGATGTGGCAGGGGCCGGTGGAACTGGTGAACCTGCACGTGTGGAAGTCATGGGTGGAGACAATGCTGGCACACATGACAGCAACCCAGGTGCACATGGTGAGGGTCCTGTGGCTGCCGTTGAGACTGGTGAAGGTGGGAAGGTGCGTGATAAAGGTGCCGGAGGCTTGTTGGGTACTACGGATGGTAATAGAGGTGCTAGAGAGGCCGTGGGTACTGGGCATGGTGTGACTGCCTCGAATGTGGATGTGGATTTGGTGTCCGCATACAGCACAGGGACTGAGACGACGAGTCGCAACACTGCGCGTGGTCGAGCTCCTAGCTCAGGTTATACTGGTATAAGCAGACGGGAAGGTAAGTGGGCGGCACGACTGTGCCTAAATAACAACTGGTTGGCGCTGGGACGGTATACCGAGGTCTTGGATGCCGCAAAAGCATTTGCAGCAGCCGCCCACATCTGCCGACCGTCCATCTCTAGCTCGAAGATGGTGCAGTTGAGCGTGGAAGAGAGGAGGTGTTTGGAGGGTCTGACGTCGCAAGGGGTTGAGAGGATTGTGGATGCGAAGCGGTGGGCAGAGTGGAGGAACTGGCGTGAAGTGCTCAGCAGCCTCCCTGAGCCTTCCACCCCAGCGCCAGCAGGAGTTCACACACAGGCTCCACCTCTCTTATCCCACCAGCACCCAGGAGCCACGTTTGGCAACTACCACCCGCCAGCCGCCGCCTTCGCGGGACCCGCAGGTGCAACCCTAAACCCTGGTGGATGGCAGCCGTACACGCACAGACACCCTCCTCCCAACCTCCATTTTCCATCCCAGCAGTTTGCATTCAACCAAATCCCTATCCATCCATTCAGCCAGGTGCAAGCCCCTATCTCCGTACACCCAGCCCCTTCAGCACCCATTGCTCCCAACCCTGCAGGCCATTCCGCAGCACAAAACACGGCACCCCATCCGCATGTCCTACCCACACCACCAGCCGTTGCACCCAACACGGCACATCCAGTAGCTGGCATGACAGATTCACAGCACAGCTTGAGCATGTCGACTTCACCCAACAATCCCAACCCCCCGTCTCACGGCTCCGCACTGGCAAGCGAGCCAGCAGCTGGTGAGATGTATGATTTTAACATCATTGCTTATCATTAGAACCATCAAATTGCTAACCTGACTTACTACTCATATCACCGTTTGCTCAACTTGTGCAGGGGTGGCTGAGGACATCATCAAAACCTTCCTTGGTCACAAAACACAATAAATGTTGAAATGGCTTGCATCGTATACTCCAAATCAATGTTTAGGACTCAGCATACACATGCATAGAGCTTGACATGTTTAAGCCGTTGCCGTTTAAATGGTACATGGAATGTACTCGTGCATCCATATGATCATGAGCGTTTTAATTAGAACCTAATTGGCCAGAGTTTATGTTTGTGCGAGTGTTTTTAGCATATGATTGGCGAGATCATAAAGTAAATTGAGTTTCATTGGCGCGGTCAAATATGGTCGCAATCCTTAATGACTGGTTGGACGTGTAATGCCAACAATTGCACCGAGCATATCATTGACGAATCATGCGCGGTCGTTAGGGCTGTTGCAGTTTGATGCTGGTCAATTGAGGTTTATGATCGCGGATTTATATGCTCGAGCGCTTATTGGTTCTGAATTTGTTTGCCCGCGCGCTCATTGGTCGCGCAATGGGGCGAAAATGGCCGCGCATATACTATTGGTCGGGCCACGTTCGTGCCCGCCAACCACCCAAAATTTTCGGGTGGGGAATAATACGAATCACTACCGCGGGATGAGACTCGTGCAAACGAGGAATTTCGGGGATACAAACCCTGGTAGGGTAATGTGCCGGAGAAAAAAAAACCCCTCGAAAATGCCCTGGCGTGGCCACTCGAGCAATTATCACTGAATTTGATGGCCACTCGAGCAATTCGGGGACACGTGGGCAAGAGCGAATCACCAAACAAGGCACTGGAGCAATTCTCTCGCCCAGCTGGTGTGAAATAGCACCACGGCAGTGCTGGCACACTCCAGCAAAGCTGACCATGTGGGAGGGAGTCACCTCGCACCATCCTGACGTGTACCGATCTCACCAACGCGGCCTGCTCCATTCACAGCAGAGGCACGAGGCCAGCACGCCCCAAGAACAACCATAGCCCCTTGGTTCTCCAATCAGCACACAATACCCTGCTTCTTCCACCTCGTCAGCGCCACGCATGCAGCACGCCGAATCGCTTCGAGCATTCCAGCACATGCTTCAGCTGCTTCCTTGTGAATGCGTTCTTGCTCATGCAAAGCCCAACCGCTCCTGCTGCCAGCCCAGCAGTAAGATGCTCTCTCTGAGTTTCTTATTCGCATCTCTTCTTGCTTTCCGTCACACCAGAATCTCTCTCAATCGAATTTCACTAGACATTCCAGCCGGTGAACAACTCAGGACGCGACCATCTAACTCGTATTCTACTTGAAGTCTCGCAGCTAGTACTCAAGATTACCTACGTTTAAGCGGTGGCGGTATATATTAGAAGGGAAGCTAATTGCTTTCACTGGACCAAAGTAGAGAGGTCTTAGTATTCAGCACAGCATGGAGTACCCACCTCGCAAGATAGCGATAGCCATCGATTTGAGCGACGAAAGTGCCCACGCCGTACAATGGGCTGTGCAAAATTATCTGCGCCCAGTGGACCACGTAAGAACCCGCTAAGGCGTCTGGAAATGTCTGAATCTGAGCTTGATTTCGCTTCGCCACCACTTTCTTGAACTCGAGCTTGGCTGAAGAGCAAATAGCGTAGCTGTCATCGCTTCTCTTCAGAGCTCGAATTGTCTTCTTTCCACAAGGTCGTGATGCTCTTTTACCCGATTGCTCTTCTCGCGTCATTCGTGGTATCAATCCCTCTCGTTTGGCAATATCCCTCCGCGTATCGCCAGGTGATCATCCTGCACGTGCGTCCCACGAGCCTGCTGTACGGCGCGGACTGGGGCGCGTGGGAGGCGACGGACGCGGCGAAGGCGGCGGACCGCGAGATTAAGGAGCGCGCGGAGGAGGAGTTCGACGCGCTGACGCTGGCCAAGGCGCGCGAGCTGGCGGAGCCGCTGAAGGCGGCGGGAATCCCGTTCCGCGTGCACATCGTGAAGGACCACGATATGAAGGAACGCATCTGCCTCGAGGTGCGCTCGGCATTTCCGTTTCACGCTTTGCAACTTGCGATGAGTCGAAACCATTTTTGGGGGTCTGATCCATGCCAGACTTGCGCGGAGCAATAATGTGCACTGAGCAGTAGACAGGGAGAAGCAACACCAGCGGGTGGATCGGAATTACAAATACTGTTCAGAGAACGTGGCGTGGACCAGTATTTTATGCCCCCACCTAGTGAAGCGTATGTGGACCGCATGAGGTGACTTGATGGTAAGAGCGTCGGAGGAGCCGTGGCAGGATCATTTCTTGAAAAGCAAATTCTTCAGTTCACACATTGGTAAAAAAATGTCATCGGCTGCATTTCTTTGGTCATCATGCATCTCCTCCTCCTCAAGCTCTCCCGTCTCTCTCGTGTCCACGTGTCATTCTCCATCCGATGCAATGCCTTGCTTGGTATGCGTTGAGTTATGTGATTTCTCTGCAACTTCTCATCGCGACAGCTGCCGCTATCAGGTTTTCAAGAAGGCCAGACTGCTTGTCACATTGGCGGCAGTGACCTTGGAGCAACTCAGTCAGCAGGTGCTCTTGAAAATACCTTAATCTCCTTGCTTCCTGTGATTCCGACAGGTGGAGCGTTTGGGAGTGAGTGCGTGCATCATGGGCAGCCGGGGCTTCGGAGCGCACGGCCGAGCAAGGAAGTCGCGATTGGGCAGCGTCAGCGACTACTGCGTGCACCATTGTGAGCCTTTTGTGATTTGTTCAGTGTTGCATGTGACCTCGTGGTGTATCTATTTCGTCCACCAATGTGTGGCCTTTTCTAGTCTTATCTTTTGTTTCGTTTTGAGGACACGTATCATCATTGACCATTGTATTTTGTGTTGGATCGTCTCCGCTGTTACTTTCTACGCTACGGCATTTTCTGACAGGCATTGGCTGTGCGGTGAACGGTTGTGACTACATGGCAGGTGACTGTCCGGTGGTGGTCGTGAGGATGCATGAGGAGAAACCGTTTTTCCACCCACCCTTGACTGCGCTGGCTTCGTGAACTACGTGGACAGGGGAGAGGGTATTGTACATGAACCAGACCTCTCAGGGAGGCTTGTACATATGCTACACAAGTAGTACGCTAGGGTACATTGTTAAGCGGTTCCATGGATATCCTGTACAGCATGGTAATACCAGATGGGTAGTGTAAGCTGGTCCTGGTTTTGTTATGTACGCATCGATAATGTGCACCAATAAATGTTGGTTACTGCTGTACCCTTGGTGATGGTGAAGTGGGGGTGCTGCTACCTTAGATAATGTGGGATCTGTAGACAAGGCCATAGATAATATGGGATCACTAGATATAAGAAGGTCCGCGCAAACCCAATTTCTGAATGTATTGGGATGGCCTTGCACAACAATCTGAGGATTCCTCCAAGCTATGCCAAGTGGAATTTGAAAGCAACGTTTGAGATTCCAAGGCCCTTCTCCAGCAATCTACACCCCTGGTGGCAGTAATTTATACGTAAAGACTGTGCTAACTCAATCATAACTTTGACAGGGAGTGCAGCAGGCAGGAGGGCTGCCGAGGGTGCCCGGGGCACCCCAGGGAGTGCAGCAGGCAGGTGGGGAGACGGGGGTGCCCGGAACACCCCAGGGAGTGCAGCAGGCAGGAGGGCAGCCGAGGGTGCCCGGGGCACCCCAGGGAGTGCAGCAGGCAGGAGGGCAGCCGAGGATGCCTGGGGCACCCCAGGGAGTGCAGCAGGCAGGTGGGGAGCCGGGGGTGCCCGGAGCACCCCAGGGAGTGCAGCAGGCAGGAGGGCAGCCGAGGGTGCCCGGGGCACCCCAGGGAGTGCAACAGGCAGGGGGGCAGCCGGGGGTGCCCGGGGCACCCCAGGGAGTGCAGCAGGCAGGAGGGCTGCCGAGGGTGCCCGGGGCACCCCAGGGAGTGCAGCAGGCAGGTGGGGAGACGGGGGTGCCCGGAACACCCCAGGGAGTGCAGCAGGCAGGAGGGCAGCCGAGGGTGCCCGGGGCACCCCAGGGAGTGCAGCAGGCAGGAGGGCAACCGAGGGTGCCCGGGGCACCCCAGGGAGTGCAGCAGGCAGGGGGGCAGCCGGGGGTGCCCGGAGCACCCGAGGGAATGCAGCAGGCAGGAGGGCAGCCGAGGTTGCCCGGGGCACCCCAGGGAGTGCAGCAGGCAGGAGGGCAGCCGGGGGTGACCGGAGCACCCCAGGGAGAGCAGCAGCTAGGGGGGCAGCCGGGGGTGACCCGAGCACCCCAGGGCGAGCAGCAGGCAGGGGAGCAGCCGGGGGTGACCGGAGCACCCCAGGGAGTGCAGCAGGCAGGAGGGCAGCCGATGGTGCCCGGGGAACCCCAGGGAGTGCAGCAGGCAGGAGGGCAGGGAGTGCAGCAGGCAGGAGGGCAGCCGAGGGTGCCCGGAGCACCCCAGGGAGAGCAGCAGGCAGGGGGGCAGCCGGGGGTGACCGGGGCACCCCAGGGAGCGCAGCAGCCAGAGGGGCAGCCAAGGGTGCCCTGGGCACCCCAAGGAGCGCAGCAAGCAGGGGGGCGATCGATGGACGACCAGGAGCAAGAGTTGGAGGAGTGGTGTCGACTTTTGGAGTTTGATACCCCCATGGCGACTGCGGAGGAGTCAGAGGCGGACGAAGAACCTCCCATGCCGCCTTCCCCATGCCCCCGCTTTCCGTGTGACACGTGTTTCCACACTTTCGCTACGCGAGGGGCCGCTGCGAACCACATGAGGGTATGCCGGGCGGCTGAGGCGGAGAGGCGTGCACATGCTCTCGGCTCGATTCCGTCTCTGGTGGAGACCGACACGCAGGAGCGATCGACGGCGCGGGAATTTGGGGACGAGGCGTGGGCTGGGGTTACGTCATGGGAATGGGAAACTTTTTTCAGTGTGGAGGCGGTTGGAGGGAGGACAGTGCGCCGGATCCCACAGCGGGCCAGGTCGGGGGTCTTAGACGCGCTCTGTTGCATCCTTAAGCGCTTGAAGAGCCAGCCTGGAGATGAAGCCGCTACCCTCCTACTCTTGGCGTTTCCGCGCCTTATCCTAGCCGTGCCTCCCAAGCCAGGCATAGGTCAGAAGGCGCTGATCACAGAGCGGTTGGGTGCGTTCTGGGAGGGGAGGTGGCGGGAGCTGTTCGACTCTGCCATGGTGGCGGCGCGGCCAGCAGTTCGCCCACTTTCCTACACTTGCTCTGACCAGGACCCGGATGCCATCCGCCTGTCACGGTGCCGATCTCGGTGCAAAGTGGGGGAGTGGAGCCGAGGATTGGCCTGCCTTACAGCAGGGGAGTTGGCTCGACCGTCTGAGGCCATGGTGCAGTCGCTGCGAGAGAAGCACCCGGCTAGCGCTGGCGAGGTACCACAGTGGGTCCGCGATTTCACCATCGATACTGCTCAGCGGCCTTCACTCACGACCGACATCCTGTCCAGAGCTATCCATACAGCCGCTCGAGCTTCAGCAGCAGGGCCATCGGGGTGGGTCACAGAGCATCTGCGCGACACCTTCCTCACTGAACCTTCCTGCCTTTCCCACTTGTTGGAAGTGTTCAACCAATGGGTGGCGGGACAGGTCCCCGAGCGGGCTCGGCCGTGGCTCGCCGCATCCAACCTAGTCGGGCTTTCCACGCCTAACGGCGACGTCCGGCCGGTGGCGATCGGGAAGGTGCTTCCTCGTATTCTTGCTCGAGCTCTCTGCATCTCGCTCTGCCCTGCGATGGTTTCCTACTTCCTGCCGTGCAACCAGCTGGGAGCGGGCACCAGGGTCGGGGCGGAGATTCTCACTCATTCTTTTCGGTCAGCGCTGGCCACTCACCCCGACTGGTGCGCGCTACAGATTGACGTCGCAAACGCCTTCAATTCGTTTCACCGTCATGTGATGTTCGATGGGCTGCGGGAGTCGCCTTTCTCAGGGATGATCCCATTCTTGCGTGTTTTTTATGGGACACCTAGCGACCTGTACCTCCGAGCAGGCCCTTTCGTACAGAGCCTCGAGTCAGCACGGGGATCGAGGCAGGGGGACCCGCTCGGCCCTTTTCTTTTCGCGTTCACGCAGCAGCAGGTGATGGAGCCGGTTACTAGGGAGTTCAAGGACCTGCTTTTCCTCAGCTATGCAGACGATACCTATATTTTGGGGCCAGCGGCTAGGATTCTGGAGGCTTTTGGGGTGCTGCGGGAGCGGTTGGAGTGGGTGGGGCTGGAGGTGCAGGCACACAAGTGCCGGTTTTGGGAGCGCGAGGGCAAGGAGGTGGAGCGGGCACTGCCATTGGGGATGCAGCGGGTGGATGAGGGTCTTACTGTGGTGGGCGTGCCTATTGGGGAGGAGGTTTGGGAGGTGGTCCGGCTACGGGAGCGGCTTCGATAGTTGCAGGCGCCACTGCCATGGCTCCAGTTGCTCGACCACCCTCAGATGGCTTCACACCTCCTTGCCATTGCAGTTTCAGCGCGGCCGATGTACCTCGCCCGGACTGTGCCGCCGCGTCCGGAGGTGGTTGAGGCTTTTAGGGATTGGGACAGCTGTTTAGAGGATTGCTTTGAGCAGCTTTTCCCACCTGGCACTTGGGAGCAGGACCCCGACCGGTCTAGGCGCGCACGCATGCAGCTGCATCTCCCTGTGCGACTCGGAGGGTTCGGGATCCGGGCGGCGGCCTCTTTGAGCCCACTGTCCTATGTTTGTGGGTGGGCGCAGGCCGCGCGTGACATTGCACAGTTAGGGGTGGCGGGTGAGGAGGCGATGTTTGCAGAGTACCTCACCACTTCGACAGGGGCAGAGTTTCTTGACCCGTGGTTTGTCAAGGCTCTTGAGCAGCTGCCAGCGACTATCCGCCACGAGATACCGGGCTTACCTCTGTGTGTAGCGGCCCCTCCTGTTAGGCTTTTCCAGGCGCGGCAGCGGCAGTTAGCTGTAGAGGAGCTCCAGGCACTACGCCGCTTGGCTCGTGACGATGCTACCTTGGCCCGTTTCACATCCCTTCAGGGCCCGGGGGCGGGTGCATGGGTTTCGGCGGTTCCGACTCACTCAGATCTCACATTCACTGCGGCTGAGTGGGGCATCGCTGCTGCTATACGGCTTGGCCTCCCAATTCAGCAGCTGCAGGTGGCGGGGAGGTGTGTTTGTGGCACAGCGTATGTTGACCCAGCAGACCCGCACCATGCCCTGAGATGCAAGCACCAGCATGGTCCATCTCGGGTGCATGATGAGGTGAAGTTTGCGGTGGCGAAGATCTCTAAGGCGTCGGGGGGGGTGGTGACAATGGAGGATAGTGTGGTGCTGCAGGGGAAGCGGGTTGATGTGGCGGTGCGACGACCAATGGCTGGAGAGGCTCACGCCCTAGAGATCAGCGTCGCGGACCCGCTATCGCTGTCTCCATCACTGCTGGGACAGTGCGGGCGTCAAATAGGTGTGGCGGCAAGGGAGTGGGAGCGTCGCAAAACGAGTGATTACGCGCCTCTGCTTGCACGCAACCGGGGCGTGCAGTTCACCTCTTTGATAGTTGAGACGTGGGGGTGTCTCGGCGGTCGTTTTCAGCGGTGGCTTCGTCAGCAGGGGGATGCGCACGTGGGGCTAGCTGTGTCGCGGGGGGCTTGTCGAGAGGACGACTCTGTGTTTCCGGCTTATCTTTTAGGGTCACTGAAGGCGCTCATCGGGGTGGCGTTACAAGGTGCGCAAGCCCATGTCATCCTGCTTCGAGCGGCGTCTTCCATGGGGGGGATTAACGTAGATTTGGTGGACCGGGAGAGGGACGATGTCGATGTGGAAGGCGGGGCTCTCTGGGTAGAGGCCCCGTACATGGTCGATACGCTGTTGTGATTGAAGGAGGGGGGGGGGGGGGGGGGGAGGTGGGGTGTGGGATGGGATGTCTTGATGGGGTGTCTTGACTCGGCGTTTTGATTGGGTATCTTGAGGGGGGGTTCTATGTGTGTTGCATTTGGGTTCTTTTACTCATGTGCTTCTTCGTGAGTGGGGCAACACATAGGGAAAAATGGATGTCTGTGGTTGGGGTGGGGATGGGGAAAGAGAGATGCGGATTGCGATCGAGGGAAGTTTTTGGGTTATGTGAGGAATATACAGTAGTTTGTAGGGCATCGAGGTCGATATTGTCATTTTACCAGACAAAGGGTGCTGCATCCTCCTCTTCCCCTCAACAACGACCAGTCCACTTCAGTACAAAACTTCGATATTTGAATCAGCTGCTACTTCGACAGGGGTATAGACCGAATCAGAAGTTACAATCAGAAGTCGTGTACCAAATGTTTGCGATGCAATATCCAGTCGCGTTTTGACGGGAATATACCTCAGACTCGACCGAAAAGCATTTTATCCAGAAAAACCCACCAGTAGCTTGTTCTTCGTGCAAGCTTTATTGCCGATTGGCATGGCACATTAGTGGGATCGTGACGCGTCACGACCTAACGGTTAGCTGATTTTGCAGTCTGCGCTTCGCGTGGCGAAATTGCCGCTGCACGCCTTGGCGACGCGGGCTGACAGGCTGTGAGCTTTGCGATCATGACGATTGCCACGGTGGCTCGCCTCCCGTCTGCCAGCATCCCTGTGAGCATGAAATATGAAGGAATCAATGCTGTAGATCAGTTTCCGGTGTATGAACATCATGCATATATGCGCTTGACCCTGCCTACATTCGTCTTTCTCTCTTGATACTCATCGCTCTCCGCTCGTCGTTTCTCTCGCCTATACATCGTTCGCGCTTCGCAGTTCGCGGCAGCGCAGTGCGCGGCTCACCATCCCTGCCGCCGCATTCGGATCGCGATGGACAATGCGTCATCCAGGCGTCTGCGAAGCGTCCTAATTCCTGTGCGTCGTGGTTTCGTGTCCCTCACATAAGTTGCGGTCACCAGACTGACTGTACCGGACAACTGTGCAAATGCGGTTACAGACGCAACTATACGAACGTGGTACAGGCAGGACTTGGCAAATGCGGTTAGAGACACTACTATGTCAATGTAGCTGCAAACGTGACTAGGCAAACGAAGCGGACGCGCATGCAGACTCTTTCTCCAGACCAGATGCACGGATCCTTTCGTCGTGCCTCCACCCGGTTTCGGATCCGTCAGCCGTTCCTCGCATTTCGGTTGGCTCTTTTTTTCGTCTTTTTATCATGCCTTGTTTCCAACAGACCACCATGATCGCATGTCATCAAACCACCATGTACTCATCAGACATCCCTATTGTTTCCACTCCCATTTCCCAACCCTCAATTCCCATTCTCCCAAATTCCAAATCCCATTCGTCGTCTTCAACCCCCGGGCACGTGCCAACGCATTATCAGCACGCAACGCCGTCAGCCCTGCCGCGTCGGAGGCCAATCACAATTGCTCAAGCCACCACTGCTCTGCACCGTGCCGAACCTGTCTCCACACCTGAGGTACAGGCAGTGACTGACAGGCGTAATCCACACCCATGGCAAGCAACGTCTGGACTGCATTGCGTCACGCTCACAGAGAGAAACACACGTCGCAGCATCCAAACCCTAGACTTGGTTAGCATTTTCATTGGGCGTCCAATGCCGTATTGTTCTTCTGTGGTTGCTCCACGATCAGGCCGATATGGTTTTTGTTATAACTCTCATTAAAGCATGCTGTGTGTGACACATGGCTAACATGGTATGACGCATGGACGGCATGGTGTGGCAATTGGGCGGCAGGTGGAGGCGCTACTGGACAGCATCAAGTGGGACGAGAAGGGGCTGGTGGTGGCCATCGCCCAACATGCTGACACTGGCGCCATCCTCATGCAGGTGGGCGGGATCCCATGCAGGTGGGTGGAACATTTCACTCGGGAGGAGAGGCACCATAGTACGAGGCATTCTCATGCGGGTTGCATGCAGGTGAAGTGCGTCGTTTCTCGGTGCATCGATTAACTTTCTCAAGAACCAGCGCTGGCCACCATGCCTATCATTCCTGAATTTTGACCCATAACGGCATTCAGGGGTACATGGAGGATGCATCCCACAACATTCATTGCATTGCTGCCACGTCATCCCTGCAGGGATTTGCGAATCGCGATGCGGTGTCAGCCACGCTGGCGACGGACCGAGCCACCTTCTTCAGCCGCTCGCGGCAGTGCCTGTGGACCAAGGGCGGGACCTCAGGGCACTTTATCAATGTGCTTGACATGTTCATTGACTGCGACAGGGACACAGTGAGTGCTGGAAGAGCCGAGGACACGGTGAGTAGACGAAGAGCTGACTACTGAGTTGACTCAAAAGGCGAGAGATCAGGGGATTTCATCAATGTGTTTGACATGTTCATTGACTGCGACAGGGACGCGGTGAATGCTGGAAGATACCTCAATTCAATGTACACCATGGCCAAGCATGTGGCTCGCAGTCAATGTTGATGGACTGGCTGTTGATTCATCCCATTTTTTTGTATGAAAATAACGACCAGGCATATTTCTCTCAGGACACTTCATTCATGTACTTGGAATGCGTAGTGACTGTGAGAGGGACCTGTTGCTTTGTCGGTTGACCGAAAACATAACTCGCTGGACACGTTTCCTGATTGCGATAGGCACGGATCAATGGAATCACAGACGCATGCGCAGGTTCACGTTCTGTGTGGAACATCAATAAGGCTGTGTTCGATTCTGCTGTGCATTCTGTTTTGCCTTCCTCTCATGTCTTTAATTTCGCCCAACGGACCAACAACCCCTTGTATTCCCTGTCCCTACTGGTGCAGATCATCTACCTTGGTATACCTGATGGCCCCACTTGCCATACGGGCACTGATACATGCTTCTTCACTAAACTGGACCTGTCCGGTAATCCAGTAGCTAAGAACAAGTCTTCTTCTAGTGAGGATGTTGCTTGTGCCCAGAGCACGCTCTTCCAACTGGAGGAAGTCATTGCGTCCCGTAGACGGCAGATGGAGCAGGAACAGCAGCAGCAGGAGCAGCAGAGTCCAGGAGAAGCACGAGCGAAACCATCGTGGACTGCACGTTTGCTTTCAAACCACTCACTGCTGTGCTCCAAGATCAGGTATGTATCCTTGCATTTAGGTTTATGCTATTCAGTTGAAACACGATATGTCATTAACACTGTAGCTTGTTTTAACGGGTCTCTTTTTTGTTAGGGAGGAGGCTGGTGAGTTGTGCCAGACCTTGGAAGGGAATGAGGCAGGAGAAAGAGCAGCATCTGAGATGGCAGACGTTCTTTACCATTCCATGGTTCTGCTAGCCATTAAGGTACGTGAAACTTTTGATGGATCTTTAGGGTTTTTGTTAGGACTTCAAGCTCATACCGTGATTGTGAACTTTCAGGGTGTGAAGATGGAAGATGTTGCCTCTCAGCTACGCAGCAGGTTTTCCATGTCCGGAATTGACGAGAAAGAAAGTAGGAAAATAAAGAAGGAACATTGACATTTAGTGTATGGAAGTGCTATTATAAAATGAGGGAATCTTCAGCACAACCGTATTGTTGTTATTTATTACAAAGGTCACATGCAGGTACACAATGGAACAGCGGTGCATAGCCACCCCCAAAAGACCTAAATTAAGTAACAGCACTCAACAACGACCCCCTGCGCACGCCGGACCAGCCATTTGATATGATATTGGAGATAGGATTGTCCACAAACCGAAGCACCTGTGGCCTCTAAGGATCATACACGATGCGATATCCTCGTGATTTGTTGGTTGATATCTTGTGATTTCGACGTTTTTCAATCTGGGTGCAGTGCATTGCTCCACGAAGCACCTTCGAGGCATGTGCATGCACGCTGCTTCTGATTCTTTCATCGATGTCAGCTTGCCGTGCCGCCAGATTTGGTGATTTCATTCTCGGTCTCGTTCGTTGAAGGACGATTGTTCGATCCCATGACCCGTCGCCTAGCTTTGTCGACAGGCCTGGAATTTCAATGTTCGAACCTTCAATGCTGAGTGCCTAAATCACCATGTGTCACACTTAGCTTCACAGTGACTGCTTAGGGGGAACCCATTTCACAGTACCTGAGGTTTGGTTTGCCCAATGAACGCTTAAAGTAGCCTAAATTGTACGAAACCAAAGGAATGGAAGTTTTGCTAATCCTATATTGCCAGTCGGATCTTACGACGTCAGCAGCACCGACGCTGCCTGTCACGCTGTGACCAACATCCAATCGAAGATTCTTTCCTGGGACTGGCATTGTCAATTCTTCGTCGCTTTCTGCTGCCCTCATCGGCGTGCTTCAACTGCGTCAACAAAACCCTTCTTGCTGTATTTGTCGTTTTCCCCATTTGCAACGAATATCCAATCTGCAGTTTGGCTTTGTGCCTGCCAACCAATCCAGGCGTGCTGTACGCCTTGGAGCAGAAGGTCAGGAAAGAAGGGGCATCACTCTTGGCCGAATCTTCTCACCCAATCTCCACCTTGCTCTCTTCAAGATTTCCTTTCGCAATTTCCTCCGCGGCTCCCAAAAAATCCACCGCCCTTTCCCCCTTTCTTGGATGTTTGCGCGCAGCCACCTTTCCCCATTCTGTACACCGGACTCCCCCATTGCCTGATCGACTCCCTCCTCCAGAAGCGTGCGCATGGCAAGCTGGTTGCCAGGTACTGTAGCTGGCAGGCAGGGATGCTGCCTGACGGAGTTGTGGTTGCCTCGATTTTACCCCTCCATCCACCTGTCCTCGATTTCACCGACTGCACGCCTGACTGGAATCATACAGCTCGTCAGGAATGCGCTGTTTGGATCCAACGGTCCGCGCATGACTCGCCCTCACTCTCACTCCTGCTTCCCCTGCCCGCGCTAGCCCGCGCGCGTGGCATCGTCTGTGCACTGTATGACTCCGCCAACCAGAAGCAGTCCAACAGACGAGATTGTACCGAAGCCTAGTTTCTCTTCAGTCCTAGTTCGTCCTAGTTTGCGTCTGCATCCATTACAGCCTCAATTGCTTACCTATCAGTTGCCTTGTGCATCAGTAACCTGTGCTTTGTCAGTAACAGAGATGTGTGGAGCTTCAGATTCCACTTTCTCTCTTCCTGCCAGCCATCTGTCGTTCTTTTTACCAGATTTGCAGCCGTCGAAATCCATTGGGTCCTCCTCCCTCGTCAACGCGTCGATGCAGTCAAGCGATGGGGATCACGCGCTTCCGCTATCTCTCTCAACGATTCCTCGACCTCTTCCATCGTCCAATGCGACACTCAACGAGATACCCTCCTCACAGCAGCAGCAGCAGCAGCAGCAGCAGCAGCAGCAGCAGGTAGACCGGTCGTGCCTCCAGGAGGTCGATTTCTTTCGACCCCACGCAGAACCTTCTGCTGCCAGATCTTCCACCGCAACGGTCGCTGCATCCGAGTCGGCTCCCGCTAGTACCGCCGCAGCGGGTCCTCGACGAACTCGTCATGGGGACCATCGAAGCGCTGAACCAACGACCAGGCCGTGTGTCGACTACTCAGTCGCATCCGTAACACCCCATCCGCACCTCCCCTCGGCACAGCAGAAACCGCCGTCGGCGGGTCGATCCGCGTTATTGGCGTCTTCGTTAATGGCGTCAGTAGCTGAGTGGTCCAACGTGATGATGCCGCCGCCAGCGACAGTAGCGACTGCCAAGAGCCCTCTACCAGGCTCGTCTCTCACCAACGATATGCACAGACCCATTACCGCCCTTCGCCTACCGACGGGTAACCCGTTTGGCGACAAGCTGCGGGGAGACGAGACACCGGAAGTGGGCAATGGGTCGGCGAAGAGGCCTCGATGCGAGAGCCCGTCGCATCAGCTGCTACCCAGTCTGAGCAGCAGCACGGCCTGCACCGCCAATATCCGCACTAGTAGCCACCCGGCGATTACACGATCTGGCCGATCCCACCCGCCACCACCCGTCCCTAGCAAGTTCTCCTCGGCGAATCTCGTGCAGGATATTCAGAAATCGGCGCGCGGAGACCTGTCGCTGGACCTCCCCCCGCCGTGCTGCTCCTGGATGTGCACCTACTTCTCCGTGCCCTGCCGCAAGAAACGCCGCCTCGCGCCGTCCTCGACAACCAGCGGAAGGACCAACAGCGTCAGCGCGGCTATCAGCGGGAGCATGATCAGCGGCGGGGGCGACAGCGGCGTGGTCAGGAGGCGGAGGGCGGCTCGCCCCGTCGCGCTTCCCGCGTCAAGCGGTACCAGCCTTTCCGGCGCGGCGGGAGGTCCGCGTAACCCGCCGCGGGATCCGACGGGGAGGGCGGCGAGCGTGGAGGAGGAGCGGGACGTATGGGCAAGGGAGGACCAATCCAAGGCCAGCGGTAGTAAAGGCGGTGCACATCTGGCGAGATGCGAGAGTGCGAACGGCGGGGATTCGTCGGTGCACGGAGACTTCAATACCGCGCTGGCGTCAACGTTAGCAGCAGCAAGAGGCGGTCCGTCAGCAGCAGCAGCAGGAGCCACGTCAGCGGGAAGAGTAGGTGCGTCAGCAGCAGCAGGAGGTGGCGTGTTTACACCGGCAGGAGCGGGCAGCCAACCAGCAGGCGCTTCGGCATCCGAGCTGCTGGCGTCGTACGCGGCGTCGGGCTGCGCGTCGCCTGCTCTCCGCGCGTTCCTCGCGCTCTCCCCGAACCTGTCGTCCCTGCTCAACCCTCCCTGCGCTCCCCCTTCCGCGCTGGCGGCTTCGGATGGTGCGTCCGCGCTGCTTCGGCGGCTGCAAAGTGACTCCGCTGCTGCCGCCGTGTCTGCCGCTGCTGCTGCTCGCATGCACCTGCTGCAGCAAGCCTCTGCCGCGCAGCAGCAGCAGCAGCAGCAGCAGCAGCAGCAGCAACACCAGGTGGTGTTACGAGAGCAGCAACAAGAGCAACAGGTACTAACACAGCAGCAACAGCATCAGCACCAACAGCAACAGCATCAGCACCAGCAGCAACAGCATCAGCACCAGCAGCTGTCAACTCAACCTATGGCTGATCTGGGTTCGAGATCACAAGCAGACAACAGCTATTTCCCACAACCACAGCAGAATATGCTGCCTGACAGTGCAGGAACTCACCGTACGGACAACACAAACCATGACAGAGCAGCACCGGCCTTAGCATTTCCCTCCTTAGCGATAGCAGCAGCACCAGCACCGTCCTTAGCAGCAGCAGCAGCAGCAGCACCTTCAACAGCAGCACCTCCAACTGCCATCGACAACACCCTTCAGAACTTTCCCCAGGACACGCCTTGGCATGCGCCGGCTCCCCCCAGTGGTGGCGGCTGTGGCCATTCTGCTGCTGATCCCAGAGTGTCGAGTTTTATCGCAGCAGAGTCAGGCCGGGATGCTTGGAAGTCTACGGCTCTTGACCTCTCCCTGCGTTTGTGACATGTCAGTAAGGGGATTTGTCTGGGAATTAGGGTAGGTTGGCTGAGCTAATGAACTCATTGGGATTTTTCATGGCTGGCTGACCATGTTATTATTGTGTTGATTGTACAGTCTTGACTCTTGACATATAGATGTTCTACATTTACTTGAACAATCTCTTGTATGTCTTTCCCCGCATGGACAGTCTCTTAGAATTTTATTTAGCTTTCACATGTATGTTGTGTTCAAACAAGTTGCACCATATTGGGTTACGACGCTTAACACCGCGTACCACTCTCTCCCATCCTTTCAAACCGGACTTGGTGACTGGCTGTCTCCAACTGTCCGGTTTACATACGTATATGAAAATGTCTCAACTGTCTCTGCGTATGTAATTTATGTGCGAGCCGCCTCCGCGTGACGCCTTCGCGTCGGGATTGGACGATCGCACGTAGCGAGTTCAATTCGGCCAATCGGACGTCGCGCATAACTTCCATGTCGGCCTCAGCTGTAGCAGCAAACGCGATTTTAGTCTCTCAATTCCGATTGACTGGGCGATCACCATGCACTTCCAGTGGCAATGAAGTAAAGCAGGGCCCGCTCTCCAGCAGCAGCACCCGCAGCAGCGGTCGGAGCGATGCGCGGAACAGTAGCATCGGCGGAAGAAGGGGGGTGGCGAAAGGCGCATCGCAGTGGAGAGGGCGGCGGAGGGAGCTGTGCTCTGCTGTTGGCGGATCAGGCGGAGGCGGAGGGGGAGGGGGGGAAGGAGGCGATAGCATGGACAAAGTCCGTCTTCTGATTGGTGGGATCGTAGGACGCCTTGTCGGTTTCCGGCTAGTAACATTTGTCGGTTTTTCTTACAATGCCAGTGCATCAGCATTGAAAGGAAGGTGTAGCCTGGATGGACATTAATTTCGAAATTTCTTTTATGGCTGCAGGTATGGCGACAAGGGATGACAAGAAGCGAGGATTTGGCCCACCTCCTCCTAAAGACAAGGCTGCTGGCTCCGGATTTGTGAATCTGACAGGTAAGTGATCTGACAGACTACACATGATGTTAATCTCAAAGGTGACTTGCTGGCAAGTGACAATGGCATCGTCAATCTCACAGATGGCTGATAATGTCAATCTGACATGTGACGAAATGTCATTTTGCAATTGCCCTCCCAAAATCCCCAATGCCAATCCTCAGGTAGAGAGGACCTGATGGCTGGTCGCAGGGAGTTCGACCTTGCCTTCTCTTCCTCCACGCCCCCCGAAGCCCTGCTGGCTCAGGCTCGAGCCCGAGCCAAGGCGCGGACCATTGCTCAATCTCAGGCTCGGAAGGCTGAAGGGTCGGGTGGTGGGGCTGAATCTGAAGATATGAATGGGGAGGGGAGCAGGCAAGCCGACAATGAAATGAGAGAGTTGGATCCGGAAAGCAACGGCAGCAGTGGCTCAGTGTCTGCTAGAGTTGAAAGTGATGTGGATGGCAAAGCAGCTGAGGATAGAGCAACTGGATTTCCACCTACCTCTACTGGTCTGCCGTTGGATCTGACGCCAAGCCAAGCAGTGATTTCAGCTGGCATGCTCGCTGTGACGGCACTGGCTGTGGGGAAGGGATCGAATGATTTCTTGTCTGATGAAGTCGTTTGGCTACTGCGGGTGAGTTCCAACCGGAAGAACGTCATGCTTCTTGCAACTTGTACCATCTTGGGCGTTTCAAAAGTATCTGTTACTCCCTTGTATCTCAGTTGTCAGCTTGCAGAAATTAGGCTGGTTGGCCGATTTAGCCTCTCTCCACCCTTCCGTTAATGCTCTCTGTCATCACTATGTGTCACACCACTCGTCTGCTTCCCCCTGTCCCAGGTTTGGATGGCTGTTGCTTGGACTACTCACTGCTCTCTTGGTGCATTTGCTGCCTTCATATGCCATCAACCAGGTGCGAGCAGCTACCTGCATTGCCTTTTGTTCTCATTAGAAGAAACATTATTCATTCCTTGTCCTGACAACCTTCTTTTTGTCGTAACAGGCAACCAGCTCTCTGCATTATCTGCAAGCAAGTGGTTTTTCAAAATATCGCTAGCTGGATTCCTAGCCTTCTCCGAGTTCTGGAACGTTTGGAGACCACGTGGAAGCTTGTAATCGAGCAAAAAGCAAGCGCTCTCATAGTGAACACCAGAGTCTGAACAGACTTGTGCCGCCATATCAGCGGCAGCTCTCGAGTCAATCGGATGGAACAGCAGACAGAGAGGGGGAGAGAGAGAGAGAGAGAGAGAGAGAGAGAGAGAGAGAGAGAGAGAGAGAGAGAGAGAGAGAGAGAGAGAGAGAGAGAGAGACGGTATGCTCACGCGAAGACAGAGAAAATGCTCGTGCTAACAGCAGCAGACGCTCTTGGTGTCACGCCACGCTACTCTCCACGGCGACTCCACTCAACATCACAATGACCATGGCTCTGCATATTGGACCATGGCTGTCCATGGGAGGACTGTGTGTGTACAAAGGTTAGTATTCTTTCCCGCCAATGGCTTCAGTGGGGAAGTTGCTACTGACTTGTCGGAAGGTGAATGCTGTATTGGCTGACAGGCTTATGGATAGGTAGGCACCACTGTTGATAACAAAAAAAGCTCCAGGTGAAGGGCCAGAAGAATGGAACACCTCGTGCGTCACTTAAAGCTTTACAAGCATGCCGTACAATGTGCGTCTTCCTAACATGTAAAAACTGTAACGGTTTACTGTGACGGCACCTGCGCTGGACTCTTTCTCTGATGGCGATGACGCTCCAACCGTTTTTATCGGCCATGGGATAAAGAGTCCAGCTCACGTGAGAGTGGGCCTTCCCACCCACAGGTTTACTGTATACCTGCCCCGATCAATTTTGAAAATGGACGAGCGAAAGCATTTCAGAAATGAGCAGTTGAAGAAGGCCAAGCCATTCGTGTCCTCGGCCAAGAGCGCTACTCCTTCTCAGAATACTTGAGGCCAGGCGGTATGGCTCCTTCATACGTATCAGATCCTCCTCTGCTACATCTGATGCTCTAGCTCTACGCGTGACAAAGCCTGCGGTGCAGAAGCTGCCGACGACGGTGCAGAGGGAGTGGCTGAGGAGGTCCGAAGTGCTGCATGAAGGGGAGTCAGCTGCCACTGAGTGGACGACCGGGGCTACACAGCTCATGTCATCACTGCTCAGGTCCCCTTCACCTCTGCCCATTTCTTCTGTTCCTCTCCTCGCCTCCTCCCCTTCACCTCTGCCCAACTCCTCTTCTCCTCTCCTCACCTCCTCCACTTCACCTCTGCCCATCCCTTGAGTCGTTGGTGCTCTGGGCAGCCGCTGGGTCGGAGCTGCTAAATCATCTAAGGGAAGCTGCTGCTGATAGCAGTTGAGCCGTCTCCTCTGCTCCCCTACTGCCCCTGACGGCAGTACAGCAGTCTCCCCTGCACACTACCACAGCTGCGACCCCTCCTCTCTGCCTGACAAACGAAGGGGGAAAGGCGACAGCAGTGCGAGATGGGTGGGATACCCAGGTGAAATGGGAGGGTTGGGCAGCTGTCACTATCGCCATTGTCTCACCACAACCGGAGTGACTCTGTAGTAGCGGGGTGAAAAGCCGACGTACGGTATTCGCATCCACGCATCCACGAAACGGTGGCTCTTGAGTGGACGAATTCACAAAGCTCCGCCGCAGGCAGGTCGCGAGCTCCGCAGCCACGTCGCAGGGACATCGACTTCGCGACGAAGCTCCTTCGTACTCACGTCGACGTATTCACAAGCTGTTCCTCCGTCATCAGATTCACGAAGCTGCTCCTCCTCCGCCGTCCTACTACCATCGCAAGCGTCGACGACCTCGCGAGCTCTTCGGGTTCGTCGAAAAATAGTGGAAGAAACGAAGAAGCTTCTCCATCAAGCATTTCGCAAACTTGGTCCGCAGGCGATCCGTTTCGCGAGTTCTTTGGCAGAATGTTATATTGCTTACTTTGTGTAGGCTATAGTGGGGTAGCCCATAAGGGGTACAACCCAATTAGGGTTAGTACTTGTACCCAACTCTTTCATAGTTCATTCATTCTCGTTCGTTAGTTTGATATGGTTTCAGAGCAGGTCCTTCGCTAGGACCGTTTTTTTTTTCTAGGGCCCACCACAGAGCTGCCCCACGAATCGCCCTGCCCTAAAGGCCCGTCGCGTCGCCCCTAGCAGCCCGCCGCGCCGCCCCTAGCAGCCCACGAGCCGCCCCTGCAGCTAGCGCGCTGCCCCTGCAGCCCGCTCGCCACCTGCTCACGGCCCGCGCGCCGCCCTTGCAGTCCGCGCGTCGCCCTCTTGCGGCCCGCCCACCGCCCCTAGGCCCGCTAGCCGCCCTTGCGGCCCGCTCGTCGCCCTTGCGGCCTGCTCGCCGCCCGTGCGACCCGCTCGCCGCTTGCTCGCGGCCCGCTCGCCGCCCCTGCAGCCTGCTTGCCACCAGCTTGCGGTCCGCTATGCCGCCCCTGCCACCCGCTCGCCGCTTGCCTGCGGCCCGCTCGCCGCTCCTGCAGCCCGCTTGCTGCCTGCCTGCGGCCCGCTCACCGCCCTTGCCACCCACCCACCGCCCGCCTACGCCCCCCTCGCAGCCCCTGCAGCCCGCTCGCTGCCCTCTTGCGGCCCGCGCGCCGCCCCTTGCAGCCCGCTCGCCGCCACTTGCGGCCCGCGCGCCGCCCATTGCGGCCCGCTCGCCGCCTCTGCAGCACGCGCGCCGCCCCTTGCAGCCCGCTCGCCGCCCCTTGCAGCCCGCGCGCCGCCCCTTGCAGCCTGCGCACCGCCCTCTGGCAGCCCGCCCGCCGCCCCTTTGCTGCCCGCTCTGCTGCTGGCCACCCTAGCTGTGCGCCGCCCTGCCCTCCCTGCATGCTGCTTTGCTGGTAGCGCGCCACCCTGCTCTGCCCGCTATGGCTTCTCTCCGTGTACTCGGGTTCGATCATGAGGGCCGTCCGATCCAGTTCAATAGGTGGCTCCACGACTTACAGCTGTACCTACTGAGCGACTCTAGAGACAGCGTTTCGTTGTTTGACCACACGTC